TCTAGGACTCAGCCATTTTTTTTGGCATTTAATATTCTCATAGAGAATCCATTTTTCATCACCAGTGACAATTCTGTACAAAAATGGTTCACGCGCATTACGTGTCAGAAGAGCCGAAGCAACATTCACACGTTGGAAACAATGATCATCAGAGAGTTTGTGAGGCACCCAAACGCCTTTTTTATGGAGTTTTCCTGTATTCCTTAGATGTTTACGTATTGTTTCATGAGAGGCATGTAATTTCAGGGCCATTTCACGAGTGTGTTTCCTTGGGTTAGACTCAACAAGCGTCTTGAGAGCATCATTATCAATTCCAACATGTCAGCTCCTGCCATCACAGTTTTTAAGGCTAAAGTCACCTGAACTAAATTTGCTGAACCATCGTTGACACTTACGACCATTCAAAACATTTCCATAAACTTCTTTGATATTCTTTGTGGCTACAGAGGCATTGTATTCAAATAGCATTACATGCCGAATGTGTGTTTCGTCGTGTGCCATCATTATAAGGGATTAGAGTATACTACACTTTACACATTATATACACAGTTTTTATTCTAATAATGGCTGGAGACGGCTTAAATGGGTAATGAAGAAAAACTTTAATATAAGTTTAACATGACAGCAAATGTACAACGTTTCGACAAGGTTTTTATTCATTTACAACTGGCCCTCCCAATGTTTAGTACATTGCAAATTAACTAGAAATAATCTTGATGAAATTCATTGGTTCAATTTTTTTATGAAAAAATTTTAATGTCTGTAAACTCTTTCTTGTTTGCTCATTTTCTGTAAGCTAAAGTTTGCAGTTGTTTCTTGTTTTATCTTTAGATGAACTTGTGCACAAAACATTTATAACCTATGGACCAATCCAGGAAATACGAGTGTTCAAGGACAAAGGTTATGCATTCATTAGGTAAGTAAGTCTTTGTTCATTTCTTTTTTTTTACATTTAATTTCTTATTAAAAAGATTTCTACATTATATATATATATATATATATATATATATATGTATATATAGACACACACACACACATAAGTAATTAACATGGTGCAACATGTTTCATTAATTCGTAACTTGTAATTCTCTCACAAAGTTATGAAGCCAAGAATTTTTAATATGCAGGAAGTACATACTATTATGGCTATTCAATAAGATAAAACTTGGGATAACCTAAATTTTAATCTTCGTGGATAGTACAGATATGGCACTTTTAATTTTTATTTATTTATTAGGCATTGTTTTATTCATTCATGGATAATACACCTGCTTTATGAAAGTGAGCAAATGATGATTTGTTTTGTGAGGATAGATCAGTTATAAAGGTGTTCAATAGAATAAAAAAAAATTTTCAGCAAACATAAAATAAAAATCGTTAAAACTTAAGTCCTTTCAAACAAAACTTGTATTTCAAAGTGACAGTTACCTATATGTTTGCATGACATATTCCACATTTGGTATATTTATTCACTTTTTGTTTGTTTCTTCTGTTCAACCAGAAATAAATAACCTGTCACTTCACACTGATTGATATGCACATGCATAAGTAATCACTATCAATTCTAAAATTTAAATACATATGTTACATTTTTGATTTAAATACTACCTTCCTTACTGTTAAAACTTGTGTACTTGAGAATGATTGCACCAGTAATCAAAACTTCATACCTGTTCTAAAAAATAATCTTCCTTACTGTAAAAGTAGTAACTTGAATACAACGCCTTCATTTTTTTACCATGTAGCTAATGCAATTAATTTTATCGAATAATTTTAACTTGAAAGATCATAGAGAATTGAGTCCTATAAGTTTATATAATTAAATGAACTTAGCTATTGTCTAACAGGTTTGCTACAAAAGAAGCAGCAACACATGCTATAGTTGGCACACACAACTGTGAAATCAATGGGCAGAGTGTGAAATGCTCTTGGGGGAAGGAAACAGGAGACCCAACTAATCAACAACAGACACAGGTGAATTTCTACATTAGTGATTATGATAGTCATATCTAGGTCATGTAGTTCATTATTGTACATGTTTAGTAAGGTTTTTCAGTTATTGCTGTAGCCATTCTGTTACACTATTATAAACTGCTGTTTTGGCCTTGTAGTTCATTATTGTACACAGTTAGTATGGTCTTGTGGTTATTGTGGTAGCCATCTGGCTTAGATTTTCCATTACATTAATATATTCACAGCCAGGTTGGTCTTGTAGTTATTACTGTAGCCATTTATCTAAGAATTTCCATTACATTATTATACACAGCCATTTTGGTCTTGTAGTTCATTATTGTAAACAGCTATCATGGTCTTGTAGTTAATCCTTTCCAGATAGGTCACAGGTGAAAGGCCATGTCATTGTATTTGTTGACTCGCATTCAAAATTTTATTCAACTATTATTTCATGAATTTATGTCAACAAGTTTGGTATCAAACTATAGATTATAATTCAAATCTTAGTATTATACATTACTCAGTTTCATAATTTAAAAGTAAATATTAAGAAAACACTGTTAAACATCGATTTTTGTGTGTCGCATGGTATGTTGAATGCAGCACTGGTTCAAATTAGTTGTTTGTGATGTCAAAATACTAAGTCTATAGTTTCATACAAATTAGAATCTCAAATTATAGATATTGACAAGCTAGAATATAAAATAAGAACCTCATATCTTTTCTATTTGCTAAGATGTTGCTCATGTAACAAATCAAACACAGTGGAACCCCACCCAGCTCTTTCCATTTTTGGAAATGCTCCCTTATATACACTTACTTCTATATATGACCTGAATAACCAATCAAAAGCTCAGAATGTCCCCCTTGTGGCTTTCCTTGCCATTTTAAATTCTTAGGATGCCATCTCTTTCTTTCAAACCAAGATTTCAAGAAGGTACGTTATATCTTTAGTCTGCTTGAAATTTCATATTTTTTTAGACTGAAATACAGCTGTTACTAAGCTTGATAAATTATAGTGCAATTCTATGGTATTGGTATAGTAATTTATGATTTTTTGTTATTCAACTGTGTATATAAAACCTAAAAAAAATTATCTCATTTCATATTCTCCACATGCGAAATTTTAAAAGACATTAGCGACTGAGTACAAAGGTTGTACCTAGAAGAGATAATTGTTTGCATTACTTTTTTATTTACTGTTGTATGTTTTAAGAAAAATAAGTTTAAGAACTTATTTCTAGATAGCAATAATCTATATCTGTATATAATGTATAATAATTGAAATGTGATGAATAAAATCCCTATAACCCGAGTGCTTTTGAAAGCGCTTGGGTTATAGGGTTTTTATTCATTTCTATCAAGATTTCTTGAACCTACGTGTTTTTCTAAGATCATGAATTGGAATGTGACTGTATTTTAGAAAATACTAGTCTACTAAAACACAGCCAAAACAGGTCACTTTGTAAAGACTAAAGGTCAACGTTTTATTATTGGATACGGTAACATGAGTGCATGTGTGCCAGGTCATTGTAACTTCTGTATTGTTAGCCAGGCACAGTTGAAAGGTCAATATAATAAAAATAATAAATATATATAAGTGTATAATGTTATGAGATTTAAGCTATTTTGTCTAAACATTTTTATTTTTGT